TTGGGTTTTTTTTTTTTTATCAAAATTGATATATACATTCATAATTAAATGCATTAGTCATGCGCAACACTCTACTTTTTCTATCCCGGTTTTATATACCGTATCTTGTTTGGCTGTTGTTCACGAGAAATATATAGCCCCGCCTTCATGTCGTAACTAGATGTAAATTTAAAATGTCTGGCAATTATTGCCTCGATTTAAAAGAGAAGGTTTGTAGCCGTGTCAGGTTGGATGTGGCCGAAATGTAATAAGTAACAATACTCAATCGTCGTTTTGAAGAAAAGATTGATAGTTTTGCTTCTTCAAGTTCGATCGGATTCGCATCGGAACACGGAGGGTTGAGATTTAAGGTTTCATATTTATATAGAGTTATGTACCACTTCCCAACCACGTGGGTTTTCAGCTGGTACTCTGGTTCTCCCTCCACTGCTAAAAGAGCCCTACAGACTAGGGCGGCGTTATTAAACTTTTTACATTAACACATTCACAACGACACACAATAACGACATAATCAAACAAAAATGGATGCAGGTGGAATTTCTATTGGGACATACATTTTGCTGCAGTCTGTCTTCAACTTTGATGCTTTTGCTAAGGTTGCTGAACATTTTAAGTTTATAAAAACAAACATAAATAAAATTATATTTAGTCAAAATGTAAACATGCAAAAATTAGATTTGTTAACGTGCAATAAATATAATATAAATATTGCAAAATTATATATTTACAATCGTGGATAACAATTACAAACATACTTAAAATAATTAAAATGATCATCGACATTCAATAAATGCCAGTATATTGGTCAACATATAAAAAGCTACACTGGCTAATATCCAAAATAAGTTGGACTGGTTAATATACAAAATAATCTTAGACTTGTTAATATGCAAAAATAAATTAGACTGGTAAATATACAAAAATAATCTAGACTTTTTATAATACAAAATCAGATAGCCTGGTTAATATATAAAAATAAGCTAGACTGGTTAATATACAAAAATAAGTTAGAGGTATTAATTTGCACATGTAGTGCTCGGTTCCCACTATCACGAGTTCGCACTACGATTGAAATCGTGGTTTTAATCGGCGAGTAATCTTTGTGATCCTATCAGGTCTTATCATATATTGAGGTCAGTCGTAGCAATCGTGTTGATCATATCGAAACGTATCCGAACGTATCTGCATGTACCAGATCGTGGACTCAATAGGGAAAATGCTATCGTAACGCATCGCACGATAGCGGGAACCTAGCATAAGTAGGGTGACCCGTAGGATAAAAAATTTCTCTAAAGAAAGTTGGACTCGACACGGCGAATGTGCACGCTTCGGTGGCTTGTCTCGAGGTGATTTCTGTTTAAACACGCAGTATATCAAACTATAAATAGCCATCGCACGTGCAATTCTCTACACATCTATCAACTATTATAGCCGTAAAAAAATAATGTTGACGATTCTGAATGGCAGTAAAATTTAGCTTTTTGGTTATTACAGCAGCTTTAGAAATTACGTTCGTTTTATTTTTTAAATTGCTTTATCATTAACTGTACCGTTAGGAGCGGCATCTTTTGGTTTAGTACAAATAATATCTCTGAAATACTTTCGTTGGGCAAGAACACGGTACTAGCAATAGTTTAATTTAAATTTTAGAAGAAGGTTCTTAAAACAATTGTTGAGTTGCCTAACGTGCGTGTTTCTAAATTCAATTTCTTGTTCCAGCTTTCTGTTATGTTTCGTACAAAATTAGTCTTGATTATCCCAGCCTGTCAATCAGACGTAGAATGGTGGGTAGACTGGTTAAGCGAGACTAAATTCAAAACAAGGGCACGTAGCCTATTTTTTTCTCACATATAACCGGATATTATGGTCGACACTCGTAACCATCTTTTCAGTGTATTATTTATAGCTTATTAAAGGGACAATAACACTCTTGCTGGCTTGAAAGCTCCAGAAAATAAATAATATCTCTATCTAAGTACTAGATGTTTAAGTGTCCTACCTGTTGTGTAAATTATCCATTACATCCTATTTTACTTGTCCAGAGGGTTCGAAAATATTTTTAAATCGAAGTTTCATTTGAAAAGGTTTACGTTAGACGTTTCAAACCATTATGTTGAATTTTTCAAAATTTTTAAATAAGGTGTGTTAAGATGAAATTTGTATCATCAATTAATTGAAATATTCTAAAATAGTACAATTTGTTGACCAGAATAAAGATTGGGACATATTATTCAGTTACAACAAGAGTGGTATTGAGCCTTTAAGTATACCATGACCGTTTATTTAGTTACTATAAATGTCTGAAACTGATTTAAGGCTTGGTATATATATATATATATATATATATTGTGGTGTAATTGTCGAGATATTTGGAGATATACTGACGAATATACACACATAAGATAGATTGGTTAATAATACAAAATAAGTTAGACTGATTTATAAGCTACATGGGTAATATACAAAAATAAGATAGACTGTGGTTAATATACAAAATAGGTTAGACTGGTTAACATACAAAAATAAGATACTGGTTAATATATACATATATACCACTTTGAATTTAAAAGTCGGTCACCTCTGGCTTGCGGTTGTGGTTTCGATCCCTGGCGTGAGCTATGTGGCTTGGAGATAGGGGGAGAGAGAGAAATGGGGTTTAACGTCCACTCGACAGAAACTAGGTCATTTCGGGACTAACATATGGTTTAATTTTATTTCAATAATTCGCTTGTGCGTAGGGTTTTTTAGCAGTGGGAGGAAACCGGAGGACCCAGAGAAAACCAACGAGGTTGGACAGGCGACCCTACTCCTTGTCACGTACAACCGGGGATTCGAAACCACGCCAGTTGACTCAATGACAGGCTTTATGATACAGCGCGCACGTGCTAACCATTCGGCCATCCAATCCCCCCTTCCTTGGAGATAGAGGCGCCTTCTCAACCTCGTCTGTTTACTCCGGATATTCCGCCCCCCCCTCCCGAGGAAAGACCTCTGCGCGTGCGCTAAGATAATAATAAAAAAAAAATGAAAAATAAGACTTGTTTGCGATATCACCGTCGGTGGAATAAAAGCAAAACTGGGGTTGTAATCGTTTACTTAACAAACTATAATAATAACAAGACGAGGTCAACTTACAACAAATAACTCGTAACTGACTGCCTCACTTAAAACTGCTTAACTTTTGCACTAAAATGAACCATTATAGTTAAATCGGTTTTAAACGAGTTAATCAACGTTGGTGGTAGACTATTTTTTGGAATGTTATGGAACTCCATGTGATACCTTAATGATACATTCCTGAGTTCAGCAGTTAGATACCAGCAATTTATTCTAATTTGACAGTGCGGTTCGTCTACTGAGCGAGAACGGGTAATTAGCCTAAGTTGCTTAAGTTATTGTAATTGTTGGACATAAAAAGTGTAATGATGTTCGCCAACTAATGCTATTGGAAATTTGAAAATACAACATCTGCCAGTCTCTAGCTGTTACCTTATAATCTTTTTACCTAAACAAAAAATAGTCTAATACCTCAAAATTGAATTAATTTAATACTCCAGTACTAAAGGATGTTTGACAATATAGGGTATTTTCTTCGTAAATGCTATAATGCACTGTAAAGTTAACACAATATCCATTGGCAAATGAACTTTATAACCCGTTCAGACGCTCAAGATTAAGCCAGTTTTACTTTGTCGTATCGTATTTTTACCTGGTGAATTTTAGGAGCATGTTCGTAATATTCCCATGACTCCATTTACAACCGCGGGTGCTCACGATCACCTGCAAATGTCTGGCGATCACCGTGTGCTCGTTGCGAATTGGAGGCCAATTGTATTCTTAAACCTATTTTTTTTAACACAAATTTAACGTCCAATACATTATACATGTTAATATAGACAGGTTGATGTAATTAATTTATTCACACATGAAGGAATATGTAATCTGACTGTAAGGATGAAGTTAAATATTTAGTGCATTATTATTTTATGAAATGAAATGAAATGGGGTTTAACGTCCTACTGTTCTGCTACTATACTGGGCTAATGAAGACGGGCATACGCCGTACAGAGTGCTATGAGGGAAGTTTTGCCCGGGAAGCGGCACTATCGCCTACTCTTATATCGAATTCCAACTGCCAAGGGATCTTTTACGTGCATTCTAATATATACACGGGGCCTCGGTTTTTCGTCTCACTCGAAGGACTAGACAGCTGTCCTTGTCAGGCCCTCCGTTTTGCACCACTGACAAGGGGAAACCACGTCGGAAAATCAGGATGAACTTTCTCGGCCAATGCAGGGATCGAATACCCGACCTCCAGGCTAGCGAACCAGCGTCTTAACCACCTAGCAACCGTGGCCCCATTATTATTTTATACGGGGGTGTTTGTCTCTGACACCCATAACCCCATAGTCTTCAACTTATGGAGGACTGGGCCAGCTGCCCATCACATAAAAAACAAATGACCGGCCACGCAATGCAATCTTGTATCTAAGGTTAAGATCCAAGAAAAGCCATAATGAACCCTGAAGAAAATCTTAGTAGTGTTGGGTGTTGAACCGGCAATGCAAATAGATTTGTCTGAAATGACAATTTATTCTTGAAAATAGTTTTATGGGCGCAGACATTTTGTTTTAGACATATTTGCCTCCCTTGTTTGTAGCATAGCCCATCGAATACACTGAAAAAAAACTTGTGTTGGATCTCAACACAAGTACTTGTGTGAAAATTTTTCTACACAAGTTATGTGTTGTTTTGCATTGCATTAACACAAACTTGTGTTCTTTTTAATGCATTAACACAAATCTTGTGTTTTTTCCATATAATTAACACAAGTAATGTGTACCGTCAACAAATATTTTTTTTTTTAAATTTGAACTCCATACAAAGTCTTAATCCGGGGGTCCACAAGTAAGAGAAAGGTATTTTTTACTCAGACAATATAGCCAGACAGACTTGAATGCTAATTGGTGTTAAGATGTCTGTAGTTAAAATAAAATTGGGCCCAATAAACTGGTAGATCAAAGGCCTGTTGAGCGCTCATGCCCGGTGTGATTTTAACAATTGACTCCAAATGCGTTGACAAGAAAATAAGTAAAACTGTTATTGAATGTGATTGGTTGATAAAATCAACGTACTATAGGCTACATTTTGTCTGCGATGTCATCTCGGTGGAAGCGGACATTAAATGAAGTGATTTCACACAATTAATTTAACATTTAACAACGTGCTGAAATGATTTTGGAGCAGTGATATGTTTGACAAATGTAAGCTAATGGTCACATAGAATACAAGACCGCAGGTTTGTGAATATTTATATAAAAAAAATAATACCATGTATGTAATTTAGCATCGATATTGTTTCTCTGTATAATATTAGTATTTCGTTTCCTTAAAAAAACCTCCAACAATTTAAACCGGAAGTTCATGTTTATAATATGGCGCGGTCAGGAAAAAAATTTCGGCATGTTATTATCAAATCTGTTCAATTTTTCTGAAATCATGCTTAATTAACATTAGTTGTTCGGCGCTACGATGTTGTTCAAATACTTACATTACAGAATCACATTATGATTAAAGCAGAAACGGTTCGACTTGAACCAGCAGGTAAGAATCTGTTTTGAAATTATATCTTGGGAGGTTGGATTGGCGTTGGAGACCCGATTGGCGGCCATTTTGATTCTTGTTTCATGATTTTTTTTATATTATAACGATTTTGCCAAGAGTAGACATAAACGCGGGCACAGACTAGAAAAAATCTTTTTACACTTTTGTGTTAGTTGAATTGTAATCTAATTTATGTTTAAAAAAACAACCTTAAATCAAATAAGCAGATATTTTCCCCAAACCCTCCGTTAACCTCCGACTCTGTCACTCTGTGGAATATTATTAGGCCCCTATTTTCCTGATTCAGTCACAGTTAATAAATAATAAATAATGGAACTAGAATCAGTCTGTGGAAGTTTCTCTATAGTTTCATTATTTTTTCCAGTCAGTGATGATATGACTCATTCCACCTTACAGTTACAGCAATTACCGTATTGAGAATTTACCGTTCAAGGACTCCATTTTGGCATTGAATTGGAATTTGAAGAAAAACTGGTAACAATTTCATTTAATTTTTATATTTTCTATTTTTTTTTTTACCAATGTCCTACAATGATTAGTGTATGTGAACATACAATCCCAAGTAAAGTATTTATATGACACTTACATGCAACAGAGAGAGAAAAATGACATAAACAAGGCCTTACGTGTACTTGTATTTGAAGAATCAAGTAGTCCAAGCTATGCCTATATGCATACCGGTAATCAACTACGACCACGATTAGCTTTCTTCCGTTTCCACCATTTCCCTGCACACTGTTCCATTCTACTTAGCCTACAGACGCTAGGTTGTTTCGGGAAAAAGGACAGGTAAGGTTAAATTTGATATGAATAATTCGTTTGCTGGTATGGGTATTTAGCAAACGGAGGAAACCGAATGGCCCAGAGAAAAACTCAAGAGATTGGACAGGCGACTCTACTCCTTGAAATCGAAACCATGCCACTTAACACAATGACAGACCCTGTGATTTCATGTGAATGCATTAACTACTAGACCATTCCCCCCAGCCCCACCCCATATTGAATAAAAGTATGGCTTATTTCAAATATGATATTTACATATAAAGAAAGTAGAGAGACTTCAATCTTACTAGAAAAATACTAGATTACCTGAAATGAAATGGGGTTTAAAGACAACGTCCTACTGTTCAGCTCCGACTGGTCTAATGCAGTGTGCTAAGAGAAAATGTTTGTCCGGGGAGCGACACTATGGCCTATTCTCATAGTGAATTCAAACTGCCAAGAGAACTTTTATGTGTACGCCAATGTGTACATTGGATCTCAGGGGAAACCACTCTGAAAAATCAAGATGAGCTTTCTCAGTCAACCCCAAGAGGTAACCTGTGGCCTCCATGCTAGTATTCCAGCACCTAACTCACTCAGTCACCATGGTCGTCTTCTAATTACTGCGACATTGAAACCATGTGACAAACAAGGATTATAAAAATAGATTTTTACGGCTTAGGTAGTTCCTTGGGATTAAAATTTTTGATACATATAGATACATTAGTTTCAATTTCAAATCACACAGTTTGTATATATGGTATGGTAGCTTTAATGGTAAATTACATATAATGTATTTATTTTTTCAGTTTCAATATTGGATGTATATGCAAATCACCCAGGAAAAGATCATGTAACAAAAGAAATTATAAAAGTAAAAAAATGGAAGAAGAAATGGCTGGAAAAAATGATGATAGAGCAGCTTTTTCTTGGTGGGTAACTATTTAATTCTTATAGAAAAGATTGCTGTTATGCTATTTTGAAATCTAAAATTCTGTTTAGTATAGTAAAACTGTACACGTACATGTATGAGCACAGACAGAATCTTAGTTAGATATGACTGTCTCATCTGTGGCAAAGCAAACCAACACATGAAACAAAACAAATGTAGTTAAATTAACATTTTTTGACTTAATCAAAACTGTCTAGTCAATTTAAGCCAACTAATGTAATACATTGCATATTTTTTTTCAGTTAGCCACCTCGGAAGATCAAGACAGCTGGAAAGGGCTATTGATATTGTGGAAGTGTTTTCTTACAGAGGTTGCTTATCAGACAAAGGCTATGTAAGTACCATGCATATTTGCTTTTTGAATCAGGAACTGGTTCTATACACTTGGTGGGGGGGGGGGGTGGATGGCCGAATGGTTAGCATGTGCGTGCTGTATCATACGGCCTGTCATCCTCGGTTGTACGTGACAAGGAGTAGGGTTGCCTGTTCAACCTCGTGGGTTTTCTCCAGGTCCTACGGTTTCCTCCCACTGCGAATGACCTATATGACTTCAAAACTATAAGATGGATGCAATGTTACACCCTTTCATAATCATTATTATAAAGCGTTCAAATGCATGAATTTGTAAAATATAATTAATATCATATTGTAATACTGTTTGCAATACTGTATTCACCACTGCCTTAGTGGAGATAATTGGTAAATTAAATGATTATTTTTTCATTTTGTCTTTTTTTCAAGACTTTTGTTCTGGCTTCTGACCCATTGAGGCATAATAATCTACCTGGGTCTGTAACTTGAAAAGACACAATAAGTATTATGCAAAGTTGAAACAAAATAGAGACTCAACGTGTGGAAAAATAAGTTATTTATTTAAAAATTGTGAACCGTAGAAAGTATATTTATTGCCAACTCAACCACATACTATCATCCAGGGTTTATGGACCTACTTATAGTCCAACCTTCGACGATGGGTTGTATGTTCAATCTAGTTGGAGGTGTACGATTGAACATACAATAATTCAATAACTCACTTCTCTTGGTATAATCTTATATTCTGTAACAATATCTAACAAAGATAATATATACATATAATACTGACCCACAGGATAGGTAACTTAATAAGGAACAGCATCTAAGAAATAACTTATCAGAGACCTGCCCTTCAGTATGTCCTCTGTCTGCCTGTGGTTAACTGCCCTTTTCTTTAATATACAATTTTTAGGACTTTTATACCTTAGCTTTGTTTTTAGTTACAATATAATCCTTAATACCTTACTGGAATAACTTTACAATAGATAATAATTTATGAAACAATGTCTCTCTAATATAATTACAGAGTTTATTTTAATTAGGATTCTGGCTAATCTATAATGGCTCTGGCCTCTAATTCTACCTGGTCACAATACTTGAATATTAAGCCATCAAATTATTTTATAATTTTGAAAATGAAATGAAATGGGGTTTAACATCCTACTGTTTTGCTCATAAACTGGGCTAATGAAGACGGGCATACACCATACAGTGTGCTATGAGGGAAATTTTGCCCGGGCAGTGGCGCTACAGCCTACTCTTATATCGAATTCCAACTGCCAAGGGATCTTTTACATGCACGCCAATGTGTACACAGGACCTCGTTTTTTTATCCCATCCAAACGACTAGACAGCTGTCCTTGTCAGGTCCTCCGTCCTGTATCACTGACAAGGGGAAGACACGTTGGAAAATCTGGATGAACTTTCTCAGCCAATTCAGGGATCGAACACCCGACCTCCAGGCTAGTGAGCCAGCGTCGTACCGTCTTAGCCATGTGATCTCCTTATAATTTTGAAAAAGAATATAGTGATTGTAAAAGCTAATAAGTTATCAGTTGCATTTTATTTTTGTTTTTAATGTTAAATATCCCTCTCAAACACAATTATATTTTAATTCTCTCCAGAAATTTGTGTAAAATATAGACTGTAAATTAAAACTTTCATCTTTTAACTGTTGAGTCAATTTAAGTCATCTCATACATAGTATGTTTTTTTCCAGTTAACTACATCAGAAAGATAAAAACAGTTGGAAATGGCTATTCATATTGTGGAAACTTTTCTCACAGAGCTTGATAATCAGGCAAAATGTAAGTAACATACATATTTGTATTTTTAATCAGGAAGTAGTTTTATACACTTGCTTGGTAATCTAGTTATTCTTCTTGGGGCAATGCCTAGGACTCAGCTATTTCAAGTACTTGGCATGCTTGATTTTTGCCAATCACATCCATTACAGTAAATAGCAGTAAAATAATGATGGACAATATTTTACTTTTCAAATAGATTTCAATAGATTTTAAAGGGTAATATCCAATTTGTTGTCAATGGAAATAAAATAAGAATGGGTCCAAAAATAATTAGACATTGCCAAGTAAATAGGTGCTGCCAATGATGTAGTAGGGAATCTGGATTTGCAAGACAATACATGTATGAACCGGGTGAATAGTTGACCTATTAGGAGACTTCAGTCCCAAATCTCAAGACTTTTTTCTGACTTGGCCTGACAAAGACAGCTGTCTAGTCCTTCCGATGAGACGAATATTGGAATGCACGTAAAAGATCCCCTGGCAGTTGGAATTCGATATAAGAATAGATGATAGTGCCGCTGCCCGGGCACACTGTGTGGCATATGCCCGTCATTATTAGCCCAGTATAGGAGCAGAACAGTAGGACGTTAAACCCCATTTCATTTCATTTTTCTGACTTTTAACCCATTTGATTTGAGCATAATAATCTGCCTGGGTCTTTAAGTGGACAAGACACAATAAGCGTTACGCAAAGTTGAAACCAAATAGAGACTCAGTCTCGATGTGGCAAAATAAATTGTTTATTTAAACATTGTATTCTTATTGCCTACTTTTTATTTTTTAGGCTGGAACACCCTTGAAAGAGTATTTGGTGTATGATAACAACAAGAGAACCCAAGCATCAATTTATTTTATACTTCTGGGAAAGAATGCATTTGACCCAATTTTTAAATATTTATTTTTTGTTATTAATGTTAAATTTTCTTCCAAAACACAATTAGATTTTAATTCTCTTCAAATATGTATGTATAATATAGCAAGTAAACTGACATATAAATCACTTAGAATTTGGTCGGAAATCATAAAGTATTTAATAGGCATTACTAGAAACCAAATGTAGATCAAATACACCCAGAATTACAAAAAAGCTTGACCTACATTAAGGTGACTTTCCCTTGCTTATGAAATGAAATACGTTTTAATATCCTGCTTTTCTGTGTTCTTAGAGTGATTCTACCCTACCCTTATATCAAATATTTCAACTGTCAAGGGTTCTTTAAAGGGTACCCAGGGGGGCCGAATGGTTAACACGCACACATTTGATCAGAAGGTCTGTCATTGATTCAAATAATTCAATTTTCAAGGGTTCTTCAAAGTGTACGCAGTTGGGTTGGTTTCAATTCTGGGGGGTGGGGGTGGATGGCCGAATGGTTAGCACGTGCATGCTGTATCATACGGCCTCCTGTCATTGAGTCAACTGGCATGGTTTCGAATCCCCGGTTGTAGACAAGGAGTGGGGTCGCCTGTCCAATCTTGTGGGTTTTCTCCGGGACCTCCGGTTTCCTCCCACTGCTAAAGACCCCTACGCGCTAGCGAATTATTGAAATAAAATTAAACCATATGTTAGTCCCAAAATGATCTAGTTTGTGTCGAGTAGACGTTAAACCCCATTTCTCTCTGTCTCTCTCTCTTTTGATTCTGGGCTTGTACCCAATTATCCCTTGCCATATCCAACACTGAAAAGTGGGAACTATGCCGGAAAATCCAGTTGAAATTTCGCGGCCAACGCCTTATGCTCACTGAACCACTGTGGCTTATGACTTGTGATTGTATATAAATCTTTTGTACATATGATATTTTTTTATTTCAATCCTGTAATCTTGATGCTTTGCTTCTTTTATTTATAAAATATTCATTTTGTTTGGGGTTTTTTTAATGAGGAAAAGGCTCTACATCATTTTATTACTCCTGCAAAATAGAGCAATTTTCTTTTGTTAGTTTTCTGTGTATGCTAGTTATTTCTAGATGCCTCACAAATCACTTGTAGTGTGATTTTGTAGCATTTTTCAGTTTTTGAAATTGTTTCAATTTAGTGCATAATTAATCTTATTAGTGCTTAGTTTGGATGTTATTAAATTTAGATATATTTGAATTATATATTTTGGGGTATGGGGTAGGGATACTGTGTACATATCTTTATATTCTCAGTTCTTGTTTTGGGGTAAAGAACAATTTAAATAGCTATTTTATATTTTGTGATGGGTAAAGTGTGTGGGGCAAAAAACAATTTAAATAGCTATTTTATATTTTGTGATGGGTAAAGTGTGTGTGTGTGGGGGGGGGGGGGTCATTATATATAACACAATATAATTTGTATTAGAATTGAAGTCTCTGTTTTTCTGTTAACATTTCAAATATCTATTTAGTTTTGATGTATTAATTTACTTTTTCCTATGATTTTATGAATAAATAATAATCTTACAAATTTTTTTTTTGTTTCCTTCTTTTATCAAACTTTACAGGTCTAACAGACCAAAGAGAGGGGTCCTGCATAGAAAGGTTGCTATGCTGGATATAAATTGGGGAAAAATACAACACAAGTTTTTGATGATGGTTATACACAAGTTTGTATGAAACCACACAAGTTTCAGAAATTTCAACACAAGTTTCAGAAATTTTAACACAAGTTTCAGAAATTTTAACACAAGTTTCAGAAATTTCAACACAAGTTTCAGAAATTTCAACACAAGTTTCAACACAAGTATTGTGTAGATTTCACACAAGTTTTGTGTTGTTTGATACATTTTAACACAAGTTTTGTGTTGTTTCAACATTTAACACAAGTTTTGTGTTGTTTTAACACAAGTTTGTGTTGTTAAATAGAGACACCTAACTTGTGTTGAATTTAACACAAGTTTGTGTTCTTTCAACACAAGTTTTTTTTCAGTGTATGGAAGCTAAACCACTATGGCGGTATAATAGATTCAAAATTCTATCTAACTTCTTACTTCAGTTCATGTAATTTCTAATCTAAGACAATGTATAATCTAATTTTTTATTTTTAATTCGTAAATGGGACTTCTAATCTTGCAATTTTTATTCTATTTCATGTTATTTCTATTATTGAAAAGAAATCTGCTCTCTTCATTGAAGCTTTACTTGTTTAGGATGCACATCGAATAAATTAAGATTGTTGATGTATTAAATTCAGCAGCTAGCAAAAGTAACAGCAGTCCCACATACCACAGGATAGCAATATAGTTAATGACTCTTCTCTAATATAGCCGATAAAATTCATTCTCAATGCAATACAAATAATACCCCTAGTAACATAAGGCTTGATGATATTAATTTAAATATTAATATGTAAACTCTAAAGTACCCGATAGCGTATCTTTCTAAATACCGTTTATTAAAACAACCGATGTAGTTAATTCCAAGGCATTCGGTCTTAGGTGGTGTTCCACTTTCTGTTAATCTCACACACATTTTAACCTGTCAATAAATCATAACATGAACTCTTCTATATTTAAACATATGAAAGACATATTACTGAAAACATGTATGATTATATTAACAACAATATCTTTTGTGGAGCAATATTCTTTGACTTCAAATCAGCGTTCGACTTAGTAAATCATGATATTCTTATTGACAAATGTAAACATTTTAAATTTTCTAGAAAATCAATTCTCTTTCTAACGGCATATTATCCGATAATAAACCTATTTATCACAGTGTGCCCCAAGGATCAATATTGGGACCTATATTATTTAATATTTTTATAAATGATTTACCTTTAACCCAGCCTCTGAAACTGATCTCTTTGCGGATGACACAACAATCTATACACTTTTGGATCTACTGTCAAAGAATAAGAACAAAAACTTCAACTCGATGCCAATATAGTATTAGCTTGGTGTGATAAAAATCATATGAGATTAAAGGAGAAGACCAACGATTTTCAACAAAGTTTCCATAAATCTTAAATATATTTTCATATATAATCCCCTCTGCAAAACAAGCAAAAATGTTTTTGTAAGCGAGAAATTATTTTTTTTTATATTAAAACAGGAAGTGACGTAGTTGGTTCAACACGCCAACTGGTCTATGTAGTAAGTATACAATTATGGCATAACTGTACTGCTGTATTTTGTACACGCGTCGTCCTTTGGCCAAAAATCTGATAAAATGGGCTGGTTATTAAGATATTATAAATTATGTCATACTGAACAGTAAGCTGTGGCCCAATTCACGCCATATGGCTAATTGTTAACTTGCATCACGTTCTTTGTTTGACAGCTTGCAAGTGACATGCCTTTCGTCTGCTTCGATGTTCTTGTGCTTGCTGACAGTATTTTTCAACATAAACAGACCCAAATTATGGGCACGTGACGTGAGACATATCGTGCATTTTGGCACAACTTTTCCTCTTTTTTCCATCCATTTCCTCTTGCATGGCTGGGCTCGAATCTGTACGGCATTACTGCAGACCCATATAAGCGATATCTTATATTTCGGTACGTTGGTGTCTGACGTTGACATACTATATATTTATGTGAATATATATGTGCTACAAGTCCGTTGAAATAATACAAACACTGTCAGCAGTCTCAGCAACGCACAAAACATTCAAGCAGACGAAATATCCCTCACTTGCCGGTGTCAAACAAACCACGTGATGTAAACAATTAGCAATGTGGCGTGAATTGGTCCACAACGTACTGTTCAGTATGAGTGAATGTACGCGTCGGATTTGTGCATTAAACGTTAAGAAAAAACATAATTCCATATTTATATTATCCAAATAAACAGTCCCTTTGATCGGATTCCCATCCAAACGACGACGCGTGAACAACACACAGCAGCAAACTTATTCCAAATCTGTATGCTTACTATAGAGACCAGTGAGCGTGTTGAACCAAATACATCACTTCTGGTTTTCAAAAAAATAAATAATAATTTCTAGCTACAAAAACGTTTTTCTTTGTGTTATAGAGGGGATTATTTATCAATACATATTTAAGATTTATGAAAATCGTTGGTCTCCCCCTTCAAATATATCGAAAACGAAATGAAATGAAATAGGGTTTAACGCCCTACTGTGCTGCTCCGAACTTTGTGCCCCATTTTGTTACTGATCTGTTTCTATTTACACTATGTTTGCTAGTTCAATTCCAACGATGGTTAAATGAAATAGGGTTTAACGTCCTACTGTTCTGCTCCGACTGGGATAATGAAGACAGTGTGCTATGCTATGGGGGGGGGGGATTTTGCCCGGACAGCGACAGACACTGTTATATCGAATTCCAACTGCCAAATGACCTTTTACGTGCACGCCAATGTGACCTCAGTTTTTCGTCCTATCCGAACGACTATTCGTTGTCCCTTACACCACTGACGGGGGGGGGGGGGGGGACCACGCCAGAAAATCTGGATGAGCTTTCAATATAGGGATCGAACACCCGCCCCCCACCGTGGCTCCTAAATGATACGTATATAGTTCTAATTAATAAAACAATATTAGCAGTAACCAGGACTATATCCCATTCAGAAAGCAGTGTCCCAGCCGTCCTAATCTATATGTATATGGGCGTGGTTCTTTCTAATTGGTTGAGAATTTAGATAATCAAACAAATATTAACTTTCTTAAAATATTTTAGCTTGAAATTTTGTGATTAAGGCTTCGATTAGTAGGCTGATCTTGAGCATGACGAATACTTTTTTCCTTTTTGATGGTTTGTTAGTCATTCCATTTGAGGTTGTAGATGGGTGGATAGCGCAAATGCGGGCAATTGCTGCGATAGAAATGCTGACGACGATTTATGGTCGGTCTAGACCTGTATTATCACCAAAAAAAGTCCCAGTCCAACATCAGTGCCAAAATGGGTCAAACTGGCCACAATTCAAAATGGCCGCCGGTGGCTATATCCCCCCCCCCCTTCCGAAAATGTGGCCTCGAATTTCGACAAAGTTACCTTAAATACTCAAGGAAATGCCCACTCTAAAGGAAACATTGTGGCCCCATTTTCTGCTGCCGTTCCCTTGTTCCAAGCACATCCAGAGATACTAAAAACCAATCACACTTAATTTAAGTACAGAATATGTCAGTTTTTCATGATTTCCACGGATGACTTCCAGAATAGGTTTCACAGCCGGAATAATGTTTCCATAATTTTCAGAATCAATTAATTTGTCTTAGTTTTATTATTTATTTATCTAAATGAATACAGGAAAATTGCAACACGGGCGACGGGAATGTGTTTTCCGGTTAGTACACTCAGGGCCTCTACGCTAACCATGAACTCTAATCTGTAACCAATAACTTTCAATTTTACCCCTACCCCTCCCCTCATTAGGGGACAGAATCGAATGAAACTTGGCAGGTACCCTTTGTAAGGATGTCCAGTTCCTGTTGATACTTGTTTTTCTTTACTCGCGGGTCGTTTAGTTCTTGATTGCAGCTATGTTCACGTTACAGAACTCAAATTTTCCCGATCCTGGCCCCTCTTCTAAAGTGCCCTAACTTTGGTCTGCCTACCCTCATTCGGGGGCCCTAAAACAAACAACAGCTAAATTTAGACCCTTTGCGGTAGCTCAATTTCAGACAACTTTTGATATGTTGTTGTCTAGACCATATACTACAGGATATGTTGTTCTCTGGACCAAATACAATAACAAAAGGCAATAAAACGTTTTCTCGCAATTTTGTTTAGGGTTATTCTGCAATTTTTTCCCAAATTGTTTATTTTGTTTTCATAATCTTCATATTCTTTTAATAAACACATTTTAATAGCATTATTAACTCTTTTTTTTCTTTGCAGTATCTTGTAGTAAAAATTTTAATGTTTTATTTTATAAAATCCCGTAATTCTCGTTTTTCTGAAGGGTTGTGATGTTCAGCCTTCCATTTGTAATTAACCTCCTATAAGTGGTGTCAGATGTTTTAAAATGATGCATTAAATTTCCATAGGTCCGGGCCTCTTTTATGGTTAAAATGTGTAACGGTTATCTATATTGCAGATTGGTCGCTAAATACACAAGGTACTATTGTGTTATTTATTGACGATTCAGAAGCAAACCAGAAGTCTAAAACACGAGTATATCCCTCTATATAACTGACGAGTGATAACAGATACACTGGCTGAAGTGACGAGTGATAACAGATACATGGGCTAATTTCTGCTCACTAATAATTCCTTCGAAGACCAAAAGTTGTTATATATGAGACTGTAAGAGGATATCTGACAGTTCAAAACAGTAATTGAATGTCATTAGATAAGAAAAATAGAAATAGTCCGTACATTCCCCTGTTTATATTCATT